CACCCAGATGATAGAGACCTCATTTGTTTCATCCATAGAAAAACAATGTATTGTGCCAGACGTACCGTTTGCAAGGCCGTCGGTGGTATCAACATTTAAGACAATATGAATTTTGCATCCAACATACAGGAATAAGGTTGCATAAAGACCCGCAGTTTTTTTCGGATCCTTTGGTGCGCTCCCTGATGGTCGCTTACATCGAGTGGAACGTTTGTCAAATAGATGTAAGTCGTATGCTTGTATGATATGCTTCTCGTTGTGCGTTAGCTCAAACTTTCTATTGTTGAATTCGTTAATATCTGCGTTTCTTCCAAAAATATGTTGGACACTTAATTTTTGCTCGCCATACGTATTCAACGATAAGAAGAAATCGACATCCTCTCTAGTGTGTTTTCCCTCTCGCAATCTGTTTAAGCGTGCGGCAAACTCGGTCTCATCTTTTTGACGCATTATAGTTGTTAACTCAACCATTGAGAAAAGCTCCCATACGTTATCTTCAACCATTGTATTCAATGATTTTGTCTTTGCAAAACAGTATCTATCGGCTACCGGTGGTAACTGAAAAAAGTCTCCTACAAATATGACATGTAATTCTCCAAACGGGATGTGTTGTTTTCCTCGTAACTCCCTTAGCCGCCAATCCAACCATCGAAATGTGTGCTCGCCAAGCATTGAAACTTCATCGACTATAACAACCTTCACGTCACATAAATTGGACCGTAGCGTGTTCACTCGTTCTGATGATAGATTTGATATTGTTCGGTTTTGCGTAACTGGAATCATTAAAGCGTTATGAATAGTGTACCCACTTATGTTAAAAGCAGCAACTCCGGATGGCGCCAATTTCAACACTTTGAGAGATGTAGGGTCAGAATGAATCGTTGCGTTAAACATCCGTGTAATCCTTTCCGTCAAAGCTCGAATGAGAACCGATTTTCCCACTCCAGCTCCACCAGATATAAACAGACGAAGCGGTGTATAACTTTTTCGTATGTGATGCACGACATGATCACTAATCACGCGTTGTTCCGCACTTAATATCTTCTCCAGCAGCATATATTCCGAACTGTCAACGTTGATATGCTTGAACAAATCAGTGCTCTTTTTAACAACATCTTGCATATTCAATTCGTTTGCAAGATCGATATGGTCAACTATATCATTTGAATCTTGTGTTTCAATTGATATGCGATCATCGTTGGCTTGTTCGGCTTCTTTGAATGCATCAGCCCATGTATCTAACTCTTTCGTAAACTCTTGCTCTTTCGCAATAATATCTCGCTCAAATCTGTGATATGCATCAGAACATTCAGCATGGTCGATTGGCTCCTCTCGAAAATGATGAAACAATAAAACCCTCTCTCGAATATAATTGTTATAATTCTGATTCTTATGATAATTCACAAATCTTATTATCTTAGACTTTCCACGCTTATAATAGAATCTCTTTTCCTTAGTTAAGTCAGGACCAATCAAGTGTAATTTATGCTTGCTCGAATCGTATGGGGCCAATTCATACTTTGAAATAAAATCGGCCAAGCACGTATGTTCCATAGCTTCAGGCCTTAACTTATACTTTTGAATGCATGCGTAGGGTTCATACACGTCCGTGCTCGTTGATTCTAATTGGCGCAATTTATTAATAGATTTAAGGGTTAGTAGTCGTTCATTATGTGGTGATGTATTAATGAAGATGACTTGTCGTGTTGACATGCGATACTGTAACCCAAGTAGCAAATAGCATGCTTCTTGTGCGCTTATTTCTTGAGAATTCAACATAGCGTTTCCAATGGTACGAAGAATTCCCTTTATTCCTGATTTTTTTTTACGAGCGTATGCTAAAGCCTTTTGCATCATGGTACTCATACCTTTATTTGCTTTTGTCATGTACGATACAATGTACGCTACCACGCTATATGGATCAATGCACAACTGAATATCCATATTCCCATTCCACATTCTGAGAAGGGTGGGATTATAATTGTTTATGTAGACATCACTTACCTGACGACGTAGAATAAGTGTTGTTCGCTTTAGTGACGACCGGATAACAAGCAGATATTCATCGAAAACAAGACTAACCTTTTGCAAAAAGACAGTGAAAGTGATATTACTTCCGGACGATGCACCATCGAGCCACTCCTTAACGCGTCTTGCATCACTCGCCAATTTTTGTCGCTCCCGTACAGAGAGGGTAGCAGGAATGGGATGTAAAAGCATCGTTGAAGGTAACGGAAATCTTGGAAAACCAAACCTACACTTACGTAAGGAACTCGATCGTTGGCAAGTTCTTGAGTGTTTGTGTGTTTGTAACGACAGCAATTGTGGATGTAAGCCTCTAGAGCTCGTACTAATATGTTTATCTGCGTACCTTATAATAGCGTCCGCTCCAGCGATGCCAATCTCGTTCGCACCTTTACTCCAAACAACGGCATGCGTATGCGGCGCGCCACGATGTTGAAATTCGTCAAGTGCAAAATAGTCATCGATTCCATCAAGAACGTCTGACTTCTTATTCAACATATAACAAAACAACAATCTCTTTCTATGAGCATAATATCGTGCACAAGTCACAGGGTCATTTCTTACCAACGTGGTAATCGTACTATACTGTAACGGTAAGCCTATACCGGACGGCAATTTACACGGATTCCCACGTAATGTATTTACTCTTAAAAGTATCGCATGAAGATCAACCCAGCGGGTATCTGCCATTGACATGGTTATAAAGAACGTTGGCCTACCGATTTGACGCAAAAGTGCAAAAAGATCGCGCTTGCAATTGTCTCTGTATTGTTGTGTTGAACAGATGACCTTAAAATCATTATATAAGGTATCGTTTTTGTTGAAGCGTGAAACGCTTATTTTCGTTCAACATATCTGTCGCGGTAAATGCTTCTAGATTCCTAATTTTGTCTTGTCGTACACGCGTGGCAATTACATTTTGCACCTGTAATATCTCTTTTTTATACATTTTGAAAAAAATGTTGGATATATTTGATGAGCATCGCCCATTTCTATGCTTTAGTTCCCACTTTGCAATATCCGAATACGATACATGCAAGTCTGTTGCTGCACGCACTCTATGATTACCACCATAGATTGTTGGGAAACTCAATTCTTCGACATCTTTATCTAATATTATGGACAATGGTTTTGATTGCTCTCCTGGTGCCATTTGCACCAAGCTCTGTGATGGATGCTGATAAAAAGGCTCTTGCGTAATAAGAGTGTCGAGTACACCAACGTTTACGCTATTCGTATCGTTGCTATCACTTGACTCTCTTGATGAAGAATCGCTTTCGGCATTGGCTGAATTCGCATTGTCCATACGTGGTTTGCTGTGTATAGTGCTTAACCGGTTCAAATTAATTTTGTTTAAGACAATTTTGTTGTCAGTAAAAAGTTGTTGTCTACAAAGGAAGTTTATCGCTTTCAAGATTTTAGCAGGCCTCACGTTTTCCTCAAATGCGCTATGTTTGTACTCCATCTTGCGTTTCAATCTGACCGTAACGGTATGTGTATCATCGAGCAACCTCAGTAATGAGGATACCATCTGGTTAACTTCAACTGGAATGTTGATAACTCCGCCTCGTATACCGTACTGTTTTCCAATGGACAATGAACGTATATTCATAAATGGTATGCGCGGACTTATTAAACGCTCTTCTAGCGTTGTAAGGTTTTTGAGTTCAACGGGTTGAGACGGAAAGCCTACTTTATTTAACGTAAAAAATGGCGGATCCTTTCCTTTCCTAATGTAACGTGCACAACTTTGACACACGATTTGTTCCGCATTTCCGTGCTTCGCCTTTGCCACGTTTTGTTGAAAACACATTGTTCCACATGACGGGCATGAAAAATCGGGTCCATCTTTGCATTTCTGCAAAAACTTCTCCGTATATTGATCCTTGTTTTGTTTTACCGGTACTGCTTCAATGTTATCGTCCTTGAAAATATCGTCGAGCTCTAGATGCGCGATAAGGCCACCGCTATCATCTAGAACCCGTTTGTTAGATCAAGTATATATTTTTTATGTTCACGAAGTTTGCTACAAATGAAATATGCTCTCGCCAATGCGGCATCTATGTCGTGCGCAAAACCTGAATGCGTATAACGTTTGCCATTACAATTCACCAAAATTTTAAAACCCTTTGCTGTACGTCTTACACCTATAAAGTGCGTGCTTCGTGGTTTATGATGCTCCACTAATTTCCTACAAAGACATAACATGGTCATCGAATTACGTGAATCTTTCTTCTTATATTGGTGAGATCCATTGTTAACATTTGATGTAGCACGGATTGGTTGCGTGTGATGACAAGTGCGACTGCTAGCGATGGTAGTTTCTGCGTCATCATGATGATCTCGCCTTTTATTGCACGAACTACTTGTTCCCTGCTTACTGTTATCTACGTTATCTTTTACTTCCTTTAGGCTATTACCCACACCACGAGAATTACTGTCATTATTAGCTCGTGCTATAGTAGCTGTCTCAGGTTCAACTGACGCGTATCTGGAGCCATATAAACTTCCATTGTTTGAAGGGAGTAGAAGAGAATAATGGCTCGCATCGATATCAAAATTCAAATGAAGTACGCCATGAAATGTGGTAGGGTTGCGCGCCCGAAAACATGCCCAAAAATGGGTTTTTCTTACCCAAACAATGACCGTCACGTTAAAAACAACTGAAAACGCCTTCACCTCATTGATAGATCCCCATTCACCAGATTTAGAGGCGTGTGTGTAATAATCGATACCTGATAAAAACGGTCTATCGAATGCGCTTCTTGCCACGAGCCAGTACTCGAATTCTGGATTTCTCCAGTTCGCAACCACATGTCTCAATAGCCTATCTTTGACCTCCTCATACCTTTCTTGCGTGTTATGCAACCATTTTGACAAGGCTCGATATAGGCAATTTCCATCACCAATAATGTGTATCAGCTCGAGCCGATACACCTTCTCAAACTCACCGACTAGCGTTCCACCGGTGATGATCATCGGAGAAGATGAACATGTTGAAGCCATGGGAAAAATCTAACTCTGTAGAATGTTCACGCAAACAAATATTGCTAGATGTGAAACATTTACTATATAGATAAAGTTTGCAAACACATTGGTCGTATAAGTACCGCAATAAAAGAAACTTGTCTACACTTCAAAACACAGGAATAGAGGAGAGAGAGAGAGAGAGAGAGAGAGAGAGAGAGAGAGAGAGAGAAGAGAGAGAGAGAGAGAGAGAAGAGAAGAGAGAGAGGAGGAGGGACGGAGAGAGAAAAGAGAGAGAGAAGAAAAAATGGAGAGAGAGAGAGAAAGAGATTTTGAGAGAGAAGAGAAGAGAACAAGGGGGAAAGTAGAAGGAAGGAAAGATACGACGAGAGTGCAAGGAAGCCGGTGAGTGGCGTTTTGTAGATTCGAGGAATAAGAGAGGACGGGGGAAAGTGATGAAGGTTAGATGTGAGTGTGAAAGAGAGCAAGTGATGTTGAGAGAGCGCAATAAGAAAGGAGGAGAGAGAGAAGAGAGAGAGAGAGAGAGAGAGAGATGAGAGAGAGAGAGAGAGGAGGAGAGAGAGAAGAGAGAGAGAGAGAGAGAGAGGAGAGAGAGAGAGAGAGATAGAGACATTGAGAGAGATATAGAGAGAGATAGGGAGTAACGTGAGATTGAAGAAGAGTATTTGTATTGAGAGAGGGAGAGGAAAAAATGGAGAAACTGAGAGAGCAAAAGAGAGGGACATTTTGAGAGAGAAGTTGAGAACAGGAATGAAAGGGGTGAAAGCTAGAAGGAAGGAAATGATACGTACGAGAAGTTGGAAGGCACAAGCCGTGTTGCAGTGGCGTTTTGTAGATTCGGACGAATAAGGACTGCGGGGGAAAAGTGATCGAAGGGTTGAGTGTGAGAGTGAAAGAGAGAGAGAAAGAGAGAGAGAGAGAGAGAGAGAGAGAAGAGAGAGAGAGAGAGAGAGAGAGAGAGGAGAGAGAGGAGAGAGAACGAGAGAGAGAGAGAAGAGAGAGAGAGAGAGAGAGAAAGAGAGAGAGAGAGAGAAGAGAGAGAGAGAGAGAGAGAGAGAGAGAGAGAGAGAGAGAGCGAGAGAGAGAGCGAGAGAGAGAGAGAGAGAGAGAGAGAGAGAGAGAGAGAGAGAGAGAGAGAGAGAGAGAGAGAGAGAGAGACGAAAGAAAGAGGAGTGATATTGAGAGGAGAAAATAGGAGAGGGAGACGGAGAACAAGATATGCGGAGACATTGCAAGGCAACCACAGTGATGCTGTGGTGACGAGCACAAATTATTCCTTGGAAATATGAAATGCTTGAATGCGAGATTTGTGAAAGGAGTGACACATCTTATGACAACTTTTTTGTGCACCTAAATTAGGCAAAGTACCAAACCAAAGGTTACACATAACCACAATACCCTGCTGCCATTTTCATGACGAACAATATGCCATGGTTCATAAATACAATAAAGACAATTTCACCAACAAGCACATTTCGCCTCGTGAACACCTTCCTTTAGGTATACCCAAATCACAATTGATTCTAAAAACTACCATTAATTTTATTATGGATTAACAATTACGTACACGAGCGCTCACACGAAACGTGACCCAAAACGAATCTTCGAAATATGGACTATCTGCAAAATCCAACAAACATAGGCATAACAGGAAGAGCAAATAGCGTGCACTTAGACAGGAAACACAAATTTATACAAAAATCTGCAACCGTAGAAGATTATTTCGGATGGGGAACAGCAAAGGGTGAGAAACGGAGGGGACAGCAAAGGGGGAAGAACGGAGGGGGACAGCAAAGGGGGAGGAACGGAGGGGGACAGGAAAGGGGAAGGAACGGAGGGGGGACAGCAAAGAGGGAGGAACGGAGTGGGGACAGCACAGGGGAGGGACGGTGGGGGGACAGCAAAGGGGGAGGAACGGAGGGGGACAACAAAGGGGGAGAAACGGATGGGGGACAGGAAAGGGGGAGAAACAGATGCGGGACAGCAAAGGGGGAGAAACGGAGGGGGAACAGCAAAGGGGGAGGAATCGAGGGGGGACAGCAAAGGGGGAGAAACGGAAGGGGACAGCAAAGGGCGAGGAACGGAGGGGGACAGCAAAGGGGGAGAAACGGATGGGGGACAGCAAAGGGGGAGGAACAGAGGGGGGACAACAAAGGGGGAGAAACGGATGGGGACAGGAAAGGGGAGAAACGGATGGGGGACAGCAAAGGGGGAGAAACGGAGGGGGGACAGCAAAGGGCAGGGAACGGAGAGGGGACAACAAAGGGGGAGAAACGGATGGGGGACAGCAAAGGGGGAGAAACGGAGGGGGGACAGCAAAAGGGGAGGAACGGAGGGGGGACAGCAAAGGGCGAGGAACGGAGGGGGGACAGCAAAGGGGAGAAACGGAGGGGGGACAGCAAAAGGGAGGAACAGAGGGGGGACAGCAAAGGGCGAGGAACGAAGGGGGCACAGCAAAGGGGAGAAACGGATGGGGGACAGCAAAGGGGGAGGAACGGAGGGGGACAGCAAAGGGGGAGGAACGGAGGGGGGACAGCAAAGGGGGAGGAACGGAGGCGGGACAGCAAAGGGGGAGGAACGGATGGGGGACAGCAAAGGGGGAGAACGGAGGGGGGACAGCAAAGGGGAGAAACGGAGGGGGGACAGCAAAGGGGGAGGAACGGAGGGGGGACAGCAAAGGGGGAGGAACGGTGGGGGGACAGCAAAGGGGGAGGAACGGAGGGGGGACAGCAAAGGGGAGGAACGGTGGCGGGACAGCAAAGGGGGAGGAACCGAGGGGGGACAGCAAAGGGCGAGGAACGGAGGGGGGACAGCAAAGGGGGAGGAACGGAGGGGGACAGCAAAGGGGGAGGAACGGAGGGGGAACAGCAAAGGGCGAGGAACGGAGGGGGGACAGCAAAGGGGGAGGAACGGAGGGGGGACAGCAAAGGGGAGGAACGGAGGGGGACAGCAAAGGGGAGGAACGGAGGCAGGACAGCAAAGGGGAGGAACGGATGGGGGACAGCAAAGGGGGAGGAACGAAGGGGGAACAGCAAAGGGCGAGGAACGGGGGGACAGCAAAGGGGGAGGAACGGAGGGGGACAGCAAAGGGGGAGAACGGAGGGGGACAGGAAAGGAGGAGCAACGGAGGGGGGACAGGAAAGGGGGAGAATCGGATGGGGGACAGCAAAGGAGGAAGAACGGAGGGGGGACAGCAAAGGGGAGGAACCGAGGGGGGACAGCAAAGGGCGAGGAACGGAGGGGGGACAGCAAAGGGGGAGGAACGGAGGGGGACAGCAAAGGGGGAGAAACGGAGGGGGGACAGCAAAGGGGGAGGAACGAAGGGGGAACAGCAAAGGGCGAGGAACGGAGGGGGGACAGCAAAGGGGGAGGAACGGAGGGGGACAGCAAATGGGGAGGAACGGAGGGGGACAGCAAAGGGGGAGAAACGGATGGGGACAGCAAAGGGGAGGAACGGTGGGGGGACAGCAAAGGGGGAGGAACGGAGGGGGGACAGCAAAGGGGAGGAACGGTGGGGGACAGCAAAGGGGGAGGAACAGAGGCGGGACAACAAAGGGGGAGAAACGGATGGGGGACAGCAAAGGGGAGAAACGGAGGCGGGACAGCAAAGGGGGAGGAACGGAGGGGGGACAGCAAAGGGGGAGGAACGGAGGGGGGACAGGAAAGGAGGAGCAACGGAGGGGGGACAGGAAAGGGGGAGAATCGGATGGGGGACAGCAAAGGAGGAAGAACGGAGGGGGACAGCAAAGGGGAGGAACCGAGGGGACAGCAAAGGGCGAGGAACGGAGGGGGGACAGCAAAGGGGAGGAACGGAGGGGGGACAGCAAAGGGGGAGAAACGGAGGGGGGACAGCAAAGGGGGAGGAACGAAGGGGGAACAGCAAAGGGCGAGGAACGGAGGGGGACAGCAAAGGGGGAGGAACGGAGGGGGGACAGCAAATGGGGAGGAACGGAGGGGGACAGCAAAGGGGGAGGAACGAAGGGGGAACAGCAAAGGGCGAGGAACGGGGGGGACAGCAAAGGGGAGGAACGGAGGGGGGACAGCAAAGGGGGAGGAACGGAGGGGGGACAGCAAAGGGAGAGGAACGGACAGGAGGCAGGACAGCAAAGGGGAGGAACGGATGGGGACAGCAAAGGGGAGGAACGAAGGGGAACAGCAAAGGGCGAGGAACGGAGGGGGGACAGCAAAGGGGGAGGAACGGAGGGGGACAGCAAAGGGGGAGGAACGGAGGGGGACAGCAAAGGGGGAGGAACGAAGGGGGAACAGCAAAAGGCGAGGAACGGAGGGGGGACAGCAAAGGGGGAGGAACGGAGGGGGGACAGCAAAGGGGGAGGAACGGAGGGGGACAGCAAAGGGGAGGAACGGAGGGGGGACAGCAAAGGGGGAGGAACGGAGGGGGGACAGCAAAGGGGGAGGAACGGAGGGGGGACAGCAAAGGGGGAGAAACGGATGGGGGACAGCAAAGAGGAGGAACCGAGGGGGGACAGCAAAGGGGGAGGAACGGAGGGGGACAGCAAAGGGGGAGGAACGGAGGGGGGACAGCAAAGGGGGAGGAACGGTGGGGGACAGCAAAGGGGGAGGAACGGAGGGGGACAGCAAAGGGGAGGAACGGAGGGGGACAGCAAAGGGGGAGGAACGGAGGCGGGACAGCAAAGGGGGAGGAACGGATGGGGGACAGCAAAGGGGGAGAAACGGAGGGGGACAGCAAAGGGGAGAAACGGAGGGGGGACAGCAAAGGGGGAGGAACGGAGGGGGACAGCAAAGGGGGAGGAACGGTGGGGGGACAGCAAAGGGGGAGGAACAGAGGGGGACAGCAAAGGGGAGGAACGGTGGGGGGACAGCAAAGGGGGAGGAACGGAGGGGGACAGCAAAGGGGGAGGAACGGAGGGGGACAGCAAAGGGGGAGGAACGGAGGCGGGACAGCAAAGGGGGAGGAACGGAGGGGGACAGCAAAGGGGGAGGAACGGAGGGAGGACAGCAAAGGGGGAGGAACGGTGGGGGACAGCAAAGGGGAGGAACGGAGGGGGACAGCAAAGGGGGAGGAACGGTGGGGGGACAGCAAAGGGGGAGGAACGGAGGAAGACAGCAAAGGGGGAGAAACGGATGGGGGACAGCAAAGGGGGAGGAACGGAGGGGGACAGCAAAGGGGGAGGAACGGATGGGGGACAGCAAAGGGGGAGGAACGGAGGGGGGACAGCAAAGGGGAGGAACGGGGGGGGACAGCAAAGGGGGGAACGGTGGCGGGACAGCAAAGGGGGAGGAACCGAGGGGGGACAGCAAAGGGCGAGGAACGGAGGGGGGACAGCAAAGGGGGAGGAACGGAGGGGGACAGCGAAGGGGAGGAACGGTGGGGGGACAGCAAAGGGGGAGGAACAGAGGGGGGACAACAAAGGGGTGAAACGGATGGGGGACAGCATAAGGGGAGGAACGGAGGGGGGACAGCAAAGGGGGAGAAACGGAGGGAGGACAGCAAAGGGGGAGAAACGGATGGGGGACAGCAAAGGGGGAGAAACGGAGGGGGGACAGCAAAGGGGGAGGAACGGAGGGGGGACAGCAAAGGGGAGGAACGGAGGGGGACAGCAAAGGGGGAGGAACGGTGGGGACAGCAAAGGGGAGGAACGGAGGGAGGACAGCAAAGGGGGAGGAACGGTGGGGGGACAGCAAAGGGGAGGAACGGAGGGGGGACAGCAAAGGGGGAGGAACGGGGGGGACAGCAAAGGGGGAGGAACGGAGGAAGACAGCAAAGGGGGAGAAACGGATGGGGACAGCAAAGGGGAGGAACGGAGGGGGACAGCAAAGGGGGAGGAACGGATGGGGGACAGCAAAGGGGAGGAACGGAGGGGGACAGCAAAGGGGGAGGAACGGAGGGGGACAGCAAAGGGGGAGGAACGGTGGCGGGACAGCAAAGGGGGAGGAACCGAGGGGGGACAGCAAAGGGCGAGGAACGGGGGGGACAGCAAAGGGGGAGGAACGGAGGGGGACAGCGAAGGGGAGGAACGGTGGGGGACAGCAAAGGGGGAGGAACAGAGGGGACAAGAAAGGGGGTGAAACGGATGGGGGACAGCATAAGGGGAGGAACGGAGGGGGGACAGCAAAGGGGGAGAAACGGAGGGAGGACAGCAAAGGGGGAGAAACGGATGGGGGACAGCAAAGGGGGAGGAACCGAGGGGGACAGCAAAGGGCGAGGAACGGAGGGGGGACAGCAAAGGGGGAGGA